CACCTCTCCATCCCACTCCCCCCCACTCTCTTCTCCACCTCTCCATCCCACTTTCCCCTACTCTCTCTTCTCCACCTCTCCATCCCACTTTCCCCTACTCTCTCTTCTCCACCTCTCCATCCCTCTCTCCCCTACTCTCTCTTCTCCCCCTCTTCATCCCACTCCCCTTACTCTCTCTTCTTCAACCCCTCCCACCCGTGTTTTGTTTCCACAGTTTTCAAACACAAGACTTAATAAAGTGAAAAGCCACAGTCTTTCTATCACCTATCATCATGACCATGTTCATTCGCTAACGCCCCACTCCTTGCCTCAGCAAGTCTCCATCTTCCCTGCTCTCTACTTTGATGTATTCTTTCGTGACATCATTGACCACTATCAAATTTTTACGCCTTCAAAGTTCTGTTGGCAGGTGCTCTGGTGTGGTTTACTCCTTCTGTCTTATCAAACATCTGTCGTCGGGATCTCGCCTCCTCCTTCTTTTTTGTTTTGTTACTCTCTTCTAACACCTAATCTTTGGCACGTGTGTGACTCCGTGACCTTATTGTGTTGCAAGTGTTGTAAAACTCTTACTAAATTGTCCCTGTCTCTCCTTCTCTTTCATGGCCTCTCTAATAATACCGCTCAGTGTGCATGTGCTAATTCCCTGATACATGTACCTACAAGCGTTCCAAAGAAAAGGAATTTTCCAGGGTTTTTTAATTGTTTTGCTTCTCCTTTGTGGTTTGTGTTTGTTACCCTAAATGTTGTGTGTGTCTGTGTTATGGGTTAACAGCTTTTCAGTCAGTGTGGCAGTCTTGTACTAGTGGGTGGTTGGCGGGTGCTCTAGTGGGGTTTGCTCCTCCCTTCTTTCTTCTCAAACTTCTATCATATTGTCCATATCTCTCCTCTTTTTTTTCTTCATTTGTATGTTGCTCTCTATTAGTAACGTCTCTAATCTTCAGCACTAAGATGACACATTTGTATTGCAAGTTCCTGATGTTTATGAATGTTGAATTTGAGATACTTGTTGTTTCTTTTGTATGTCTTGATCTGAGATATTCCTTTCTTGAACATTCTTGTTTGATGCTTTTAAATCTCAACTTTGTTTCTGGTTTAATGTGTTTTAATTGGAGATTTTGCTTTTCTCAGGTGTTTAAATCATAGCTTTTTCTTGCTTGATGTGTTTTCGCAAATACTAGGAGATACCGCATCATTCACATTTTGATATGATTGAGATTTTGTCTCAAGAATGTTGTACATGTTGGCCCTAGTGACTGTGATAAAGTAGAATGTTTGGGTGGTTGGCGGGTGCCCTGGTGTGGTTTGCTTCTTCTTTCCTATAAAACATCTATCTTCTTTATCTGTCCTTCCTTTTTGTGTTTGTTACTCTCTTGTAACACCTAATCTTCGGCCCCCTTGGCGCTCGCATGACCTTATGCAGTTGCGAGTGCCGTAAAACCCTCTACTGAAGAAAAAAAAAAGTAATCTTTGGCACTGATATGACCTTATTGTGTTGCCAGTGCTGTTAAACACTTACTACAACAAACAAATCGACTTATTTGAGTCTAGTTTGGCATTAGGCCTGTGCAAAACCAAGTCTGTATATTGCTTGTGTGACCATCCGGATGCTTCTTAAATAACCTAACAGTGTTGATTGGGGCGTTAAATTATATATATATTATATATACCATTTCACCATATGTTGACCCACCGGAATGCATGGGAGCTTTTTTCATGTTTGTTCGTGTTTGTGGGTGTACAGGTGTACAGATAGATATCTGGGGTTTTTTTTGTTGTTTTTTTAAATTTCGTATTGTTTTACTCCTGCTTCTTGATGTGTTGATCATAAATGTGCTTGGTACTCTTACTAATGAGTAGTATGCACACACATACACATACACACTCCACATTTGTGCAGACACCATTTCTACGTATGTGCATACAGACACACATAAATGTACACATACGCACACACTCACATAAACATGCACACACACAAATGCACACATGCGCGCGTGCGCACACACACACAGAAATAAACACACACACACACGCAGAAACACACACACGCAGAAACACACACACACACATAAACACACAGACACACACACATACATACCCTCCACATGTGTGCACACACCATTTCTACATAAGTGCATACAGACACACACATAAACGTACTCACACATCAAGTCAATATTATAATGACACTTTCTAATAGTTCCACCCGTCTGAGGCAACTTGACCTGGCGTTGACCAAATGACAAGGACATGTGGTTACTTGAGGGAGGCATTGCGCTGCCAAGAGCGAAATGCTCGCAGCTAAAGGGATTTGAAAACAACAAGACAACTTGACAATGAGTGACCATCTTGGATGATTTCGACTCTACCAACAACAAAAAATTTTTTAAAATATGATGTGATTTGCTTGTGTGTCTTTTTCAGTCGGATGTGAGCGGTCATCAAGGGTACTGACCGATGCGACGGAGAAGAGAGTTGACCGGTCATCAGCCAATGGGACAGAGAAGAGAGATGACGGATCATCAAGGGTACTGACTGATGGGACTGAGAAGAGAGATGACGGATCATCAAGGGTACTGACTGATGGGACTGAGAAGAGAGATGACGGATCATCAAGGGTACTGACTGATGGGACAGAGAAGAGAGATGACGGATCATCAAGGGTACTGACCGATGCAACGGAGAAGAGAGATGACGGATCATCAAGGGTACTGACCGATCGACAGAAGAGAGGTGATCGGATCATCAAGGGTACTGACTGATGCGGCAGAGAAGAAAGATGACCGTTGTCACTACTGCAGCCAGGTGTAGGAACAGACAGATGTGAGGCAAAGAGAAACATGTGGCAGACGACAGGCACATTTTCTTTCTCTTCCCCTTCGTCAGTTCCAGGCGTGTCAGCTGCCCCGAAGTTCCCTCAGCTGTTCCAGATTTGGCGATCTAGAATTTCTGATGTCATTCTTAAAAATACAGTATATCATCGCCGTCGGGATAAGGTCCGGATAAGTGAGGTCAGGAGAAGAAGAAAGAAAAAAACAGAGTTATTAAAATGACGACTTAGAGTGATCCAATTTTCATACTGATAAAAAAAAAAGTCCACTACCGCTTATTTATTTGAAGATAAAATTTTTAACCAGAGTATGAAACATGCTTTGTAGAATACATTTCACACACAAAAAAAAGCAAAATCGAAAATTTTGTAGTTATCTAACGTTATCACGATGGAGACGATATGATCCTTATAGTTTGAGTTCAGCTCACTTGGTATTGAAAAAGCCACTGTTCCCTACAGACTGGCCACTACTGCGCTGCCTCTCCGCTTACATAGCTCCAATCCCTGTCTCCGTCTCTGTACCCAGACTGCAGATGTCAGTGCTAGGCTGTATTTCTTTAATTCCCCGATACGCACAAATTTGTACTTTTCTTGTGTCAAGACGTGCTGGAATCAGGCGCTTGTTAATTTATATGATTTTATATACATTGCAAGTACTATAAAACTCTTACTAAAACTAAAAAGCTAATTAATTTTTGGGCATAGGGAGTTATTAGTATCATCTTAAAGCTTATTCATTTTGTTTTGTTTTTTATTGTAAAAAATACCTATCTTCAACAGCAGTCTAGATATTTGAGATTGAAGGAGGTGAAGGCCACCTGGTGTCCCCCAATGGACCAACCAACAGGAAAATGTCTGTGTCTTCAATTTCATTATTTTGATGAGCACCTGATTTCACTACAATGCCACACATGCATTTTGTGTATGCTTTATGTTCATTTGGGTTTATGCATTTTGTGCAAAGATTTATGTTGTTCGTTTTTGTTTATGCATTTTCTGTTTTGGCTTATATGTAGGCTACTTTATTAAAAATGCATTTTGAGTTATGATTTATGTTCGTTTGGGTTTATGCATTTTGTGTAATGGTGCATGTTCATTCTTATATGTATGCATTTTGTGCAAATTTGAAAGTTATGGTTTATGTACATGTCTCATAATGCGTTGTTTGTAACAGTTTGTATTCTCTCAGATTAAACAAGAATGATCAAGGGAAGAACAGATGTTGAATGTTGTGTTTACAGGAATTTATATACTGGTAATAGGAATGACAACGGGTTGTTTTTTTTCTTCTTCGATTTGTTATGCTCTTTTCTGTTTGCCTGAAGAATTCTTTAGACTTCTGTTCTAGAGCTGAGAGCAGTGCAGTCGCAATTTTTATCTTGAATAATGCACGATTTATTTCGGATTATTATTGTTTTCATGGTTTTGTGATGGCACGTTAAAATTGGTTTGCTAATTGTTTTTTTTTCCTGTCAAGTTATCAGTTTTTTGGCGGCCGCCTTTTTCCCCATATGAGTGTGTTGCATATTGATGAATTATAATATTTAGTGTATAGTTGTTGAGTGGCCTAAACAAAGTTACCAACTGTCCCAAATTTCCCGCCCGGATTGGACCGTCAGGAATTTGAGAGCCTTGTCACGTTCACAGCACCAAAAAACTAGTCCCATGGAGTTTTGTTCTTTGTTTCATGTAATCTGATGTTGTTATATAACATCGGGTGACCCTGATTAAGTTTTGAAAAGGTTGGAAAGTCTGCCTAAGTGGGTGTTATTATGTCAAAAAACAGAGAAAGTTTTTGGTGTGCTGTTTTGAAAAGTGCACGCAATTTGCGTGTGTCAGACGTCAGTTATTTATTGTCTCATTATGTAAAAAATTTTCATTGTACTATTGGTTCATGATGAATGATTAATTGGCCTCTCCTTATTTTTGTTTGTTCTGTATTGTTAGCGTTACATTTTGTTTTATCAATGTAATACGGGGGACCCACTACGGCTGGATTGGGCTGATCGCCCGACTCGATCGCCTGAAACTGAAAACAAACACTTTTGTTTTTGAGGGGATCGAGTCGGGCAATTGACCTGATCGGCCGATCCCAACCGTAGTGGGCACCCCGTATGAGGCGTGCCGACAAAATGAGTGACGTCCTTGATTTTAGAACTATGGGTATAGATAATTCAAACTTCTTGGTTCAGTTTTATACAATTTTATGCTATGAGATGATAAAAGACATGTTTAACTTAAAGGACATGGCATCAGTTGAAAACCGACAAATTTCGAATTTGGCCTCCATGTCGATTATTAGCCGATATCCCCATTTGCCTATTGCGAGAAGTTACTCATTTTGTCAGTGTGCATCATTAGTGTGGATTCTTCATCGTCTTGTTCATTCATGATGAAAGATTAATCAGTCTCTCCATATTTCTTGTCCTGAGCTAGCATTACATTTTGTTTTATTTTGGTTCACACTCACACTCATACACACACACACACACATACACACACACACATACACTGTTGGTTTCGCACCAACTTTTGTGGTGTAGCTTTTAGGCACTTCGCTGTCGCACGCAGATGACCTAATTTAGGGGGGGGGGGGAGGTTTTTATCTAGTATCTCGGTCTTTCTGCTGGGATGTTCTATCCCTCTCATCACAAGTTGGTCCCATTTACCCCTTGAAATTAAAAAATATATATTATAATATATAGCACTGTGTAAGACATCCACCTGTCTAAGACAACCACTTTTTCTCCTCGACAATGTGTGACTGTCTTAGACAATTGATAATAATAAAAATAAAATAATAATAAAGTACATTTATATCGCGCTCAACCCTAATTAAAGTACACAGGCTCTGAGCGCTTTACAATACTGTACAACGTACTACAGTAACATAAAATGTTGTGTTCTGACCAAAAAAAAATCTCTCCAAATATTAATCTTATTAATTTAAAAACAGAAATGACTTCAGCTGACATTTGAATGAATCAAAGGATTTGATCTCTCTTAAAATTTGACTGTGTGTGGATGGGTGCGTAGAAAAACTCATTTTTAAAGATATCTTTAATTTTCCTGTATCCATTTCAATCATCATCATAATGTAATGACTTGGTAGTTATAGTTCATATCTCGTGTTGTTTTTGTATTGTCTTCACTGCTGTAAATTTATTGTGAAATATTGCATTATTCATATCTTATAATTCACCAAGTTTTATCCATAGTGCTGTAAAACAGATACTCAATCAATTAATCAATGAATATTTTATAAAGCGACTAAGTTTGTTTGTCATTTAAAATTATATTTGGGTTCTTGTCAGAGCTTTGTCAAATTTCATTATTTATTTGTTTTCTCTGCCCATAACTGTGTATTAATGTTTGTGAATTTGCAGTTTTGGAAATATTGTGCTGATGTATTAGCTATAATGTGACAAAAAATGTTGTTGATGTTGTTATAATTAAGTTATTATTGTCTCTACTTTTGTAGTAGGTTTTTTTACCAGTCTGCTGCTTCCAAATTGTTTTATTTTCATTCAATTATTGGCTACTTCTGTTTTTCCTTCTGCTTTTTGTTTGAGTTAAGTTCCTCTACCTTATTTTTGTTTTTCTCCCTGTTTTCATTATTCTTCCCCTCCCCCCCCCCCCCTCCTCATTTCTCTTTCTCCTCCTTCCTCATCCTCCTTTTTCTTCAATTCTTTTTCCTCTCCCTCATTTTTCTCCTTCTCCCTCTCTACGATATTCCTCCTCTACAGCCTCAGAAACACTGAAGAAGGGTGGTTGGCGGTTGCACTGGTGTGGGTTTTTGCTTCTTCTTCTTCTTTCCTATCTACCATTTGTCGTCTTTGTCTATCCTTTTCTTTGTTTTGTTACTTTCTAGTAACACTTCAAATCTTGGGCACTTATATTAAAATTTGATCTATATTTGTTGCAAGTGCTGTAAAACTCTTACTGAAACTAAACTTAAGTAAGATGCATTAAATGAATGTGTTTTTTGAACAAACATGGCTGCAACTGATGATAATCTATCCCACTTGTACAAGAATTCTTGCTGTTTTTGTTAGCACCAATTGTTCCTCTGTTTCTCTTTCTCTCGTGAACATTCCATTTTCTTTGTTCTAAAGTTTGTCAATCAATTATTGAACTCTATCAGATTCTCTTGCTGTTCACTTCTTGTGTTTGTGTGTGTGTGTGCGTGTGTGTGTGTACGTGTGTGTGTTTGCACTTTTGTCGTCAACTCAACTGTGTCCTCGAGAATGGCTTTTGTCTCGCTTTTGTAGTCATTTTGGTGCGGAGTGCTGAGTTTGACATTGATGTTTGGGGGGAGGGGCCTTTCTTCTTATTGTTATTATTGTTGTCCTGGCTTTTGGGGATTTTTATAATTAAATGGATGGCTTATTTTGTACTTGGGGTTTTTTCTTTTTTAAACATTTTTAGTTCCCTGAACTCAAATGGCCTTTAGGCAAAAACAAACAAACAAACAAACAGACAAAGTGGGTGGTTGACGGGTGCTCTGGTGTGGTTTTCTTTTTCCTATCAAACATCTGTCGTCTTTATCTCACCTCCTTCTTTTTTGTGTTTGTTACTCTCTTGTAACTCCTCAAATCTTCAGCACTTATATGACCTTATTGTGTAAAACTCTTACAAAACTAAGAAACAGACAAAACAAAAGAAATATGTCCCCAAGCCTGCCCCAGAATGATTTTTTAATTTTAGATTGTTGTTGTTGTTTTTATCGATCCAGCAACATCTGGGCTCTCGCCCTTCTGTCCCAATGCCATGAAGTGATAAGTGCACGTTTGCTGCAGTTGCTGTAATGTTCCGTAGAGTGTGTTGTCGAAGTTAGGTCTCGGAGGGAGAAGTGTAGCTCTGATGTCATTTAGGGCTGTACAGTGGAAAAGGTGATGTTCCATTGTCTCATATGCATAGTCACATAAAGGACACATTGGGGGAAGTTCTGGTTTTATTCTGTTCAAGTTCAAGTGAAAGTTGAGCTGTATATAAATGTTCTGTTCGTAGGCGGAAGATCGTGGTTTGTTTCTTTTTCTGTAAGTGGTTGATATTGTCATTTCGTTTTGTCATAGTCATAGTCATATGTTTGAAAACTGCTCTGCCTGTCTTTCCCAAGGCCCATCTGTTCATCCAATCTTGTTTGCTGTTGCTTTTAATGGTTTGTTTTGCAGTGTTGTATGAAATTCGAATGTTGGGTTGTTCCTGTCTAGATCCCCTTTTGGCGAGTGTCTGCTCTGTCATTTTCAGGTATGTTTGAGTGTCCGGGAATCCACTGCATTACTAGGTTGATGCCACAGAATGTTATCAGGTGATGGGAGCCAAACAGTATACACGTATGTGTCAAGTCTTCGTTTAGATGATGATCCTTTTCTATTGCTTGCAAGACTGATAGTGAGTCAGTGAAGATCACTATACTCTGTGTTTTGTTTGGATGAGTGTCAAAAACTGTGCGGAGATGGTATAGTGCTGTTTCAATTGCTATCTTTTCTGCGTCGTAGTTGTTGCATTTCTCTTCACAGGCTGCAGAGGTCTCATTGGAACTTCCATCTGGGTACTGTATTAGTATTCCATATCCGGCTTTGGTTGTGCCTTTGAATGCTGAGCCGTTTGTATAGACGTGTATCCTGTCATCTGAATAGCTGTCGATTGTTTGATGTGATGCAAGCATCAACGTCACTGGGTCTGAAGATTTTGTGCTATTGTCTCTGAGAGATGTTGTAATGATCGGTTTTTCCATAGAAATATGGGGAGGGATGTTTTGGTAGACTCTTTTGGTTTTTCTTCTGTTTTGTGGTAGATGGTGACTCTCCAATAGTTCTGTGATGCGATGCATGACTGATTTTTGTTGAAGTCGTTTCTTTGGTTTCCATGTTTCTACTAATTTCCTGTTTGGGTGGTTGGGGCACATTATTTTGGTTCTTTCATGGAGCTCCAAAACTACTTTATCTCTACGAATTCCCAGGGGTTCAACATTTGAAAGAATTTCACATGCGGCAGTACGTGTAGATCTCATGCCACCGTTTATGAAACGAAGGGCATTAGTTTGGACCTTGTCAAGGGTATTGCAGGTAGTTGCACTACACATTGTGAGTAGGCTATTGCTGTATTCCAGAGAAGATCGGACATAACCAAGGTATAGAGCTCTCAGAGTATGTTTGTCTGATCCCCATGAACTGCTTGCCAGTTTCTTTAAAAGTTGGAGTCTTCTTT